ATTAGCAGTTACCACAACGAATGACCTTACTTCACTAATAAGTAATATAAATAATGGACGGTGCGCAAAAGAGGGTAAGAGAGTCGATTATATTGGTAAATTCCCAACTGAACGACTAAATGCAATATAGATTTCTCTGAGAAGGAAGGAAACAACCATGCGGAATCGGCTGAAATCCAATTGGCGGCAATGCTCGACAGCAATATGTTTACATATCTGAGAAAGGTATTATCTCAGACATGTAAAAAAAATACATTGCTGAATTGACACATGTTATGACAAAGATAAGGCGCGCCAAATTTGCGCCGCAGAAAGAGTCTGAAATTTGCAGATGAAACTACTTAAAATGTGAAAACACAGAAAATGCTTACGGCGATGGTTCGAGCATATATTTGACCGACATAAAACAGGGCATCATTGCCAGCGACGTGAAAGCAGCTCGGAATTATACCTAAAAGCAATTTTGTACACAGCAGTATTTTCTTTCATCTGTCTGGACACAAAAGATTTGCTCAACGGTGCCGTGTGATCGCTGAAGCACAGCTTCATTATTTTTACTGACAGTTCCCGAATGATGTTAACGGTCAAATTTCGAGCTCGCAGTCAAAGCAATTTTTTCTTTCATGACTTCCAGAATTCTTGGAATTTTCACAATGACAGACTAGGGTGAACATGTCATTTGTAATTGAACTGATATTTTGTTTGTTCCAGCTTAGTCTATATAACTTTTTGCATACATCTGCTGAAAAGAAAAAAATGAAATAAAATGAGTCGATGTATTTTGGCCATCGACGCTTGGCCTACATGGGACCTTACATGTCATGGCCTCGTCGGTGTTCACATTAAGAAATATTTTACAATAAATCATTTACAATAAATCAATTAGTATGTATTGATTTATGCTTTGAACTTCTGGAGGAACATCGTGTACATGCCATTAACAACTTGCAAGTGAAATAATTCTACAAAGGCTCGTGCCCTCAATAGTAAACCATCCATGACCCTCTTTTAAATGAGAAATGTTGAGCCTTCAGATACTGAGATCGGTCGACTTTGGAAGATATTAGAATCTTATAATTTTTTCGTGGTCCAGTTTCAATCCTGGAAAGAAATATTTTATTCACTTATCATTATGCTTTTTCCAAGACCCAAGATCACCGGTAGCGATAGCACCTCACTAGGCATAAGACAACAGGCAAGCGGACTGAAGATCTTTCCACAACCATGTGATACACAATGTATGCATAGTCAAGAACTTTATGCCAACTAAATGCCGAGAAAGCATGTTAAAGGGACAACAAGACAGACGCTGAGTTAACGTACATCAGTTGTTTTATGAAGGGTGTACACCACCTTTTTATATTCTGCTGAATCGCATTAAATTAAGTGTCCAGTGAAAAGAGTACAGTTCTATGAACCGAGGGCACAAATATCGCCGACTCTTATCCTATGATGCTTCAGAGCTCATTTTCTTGTTGTTTATTAATGCATACCTTTAACAATAATATGGGTGAGCATCTTGTCAGATTAACAGAACTCTTTTTAGATCTACCATACTTTACAAAACGCCAATTATTTGAACAATCACTTTTTGTCTATCGGCTACTATAATTGCAAAAATCAATAAGTCTGGTAACATAAACAATTTCTTCTGATTTTTTTTTTTTTTGAGAAAATTACCATTGACTAGATTGTTATTACTGAGTAAAAAAAGACAGCCCTCGTGTTCAGATGGTTTTGCTTGATCAAATAAATATTTTACACTACGATGGATCTGTAATTTTTACAGGGCGTCATGTCAAAAGAGTAACCGAAGAAGGAGTAGTGGATCCATTTAATGGTCGATATAACTAATTGCTGCAACAATTGAATAAAATGGGATGCTTCCGTTGCATTTATTGTCAATACAGAATCGAGATAGATCACAATTATGCAGTTCGCAATTTGAATAAATCATTTGATCAGATAAATTTGTCTGTGCAACCATTAAAAATCTTCCCAATGTTGGAAGAAAAACGTTATGATGAAGTATTGCACAAATAAACTATATCAGAATTTGAAAGCATACCCCTCCTCTCAGTTTACCACAGTTGTGTAACCCCTCCCACACACACGAATCTCGAAACACAGGGCGGATGTAGCCTACATGGAACGAGAACTGGTGGGTCGCCCGATGCCAAAGGACCTGTTGAACTGTTAAAATTATTATATTATTCCCACATACATTAGGAATCTTTTTGGAACTTTTGAACGGATGGGTCCAGCAGATGCTGTCCAACAAGGACAACGGTCATATTGCGCCGCGCTTTAACCATAGGCGCAATACGCAGAGAATCATTACAAGCTTCTCTTTCGCACTTATAAAGCATGCCCTTGTTTAATAAACTTTGTCTGAGAAAAAGAATCTAGTATCGACAGACTGATACAGGTTTTCCTGGCGTACAAACATCGATTAGAAATTAATCACCATTTTAAATTAAGTACTAATGATTATAGATAAGCTTGATATATGAAGGCAAGCATAACACGGATTTTCATGCATGCTGTATTCAAATCCTCTCTCATCCTATGTCTCTAAAGGAGTGTCGATGATCTCATGCATACTGTTTCCGGAAGATGAACCGATGTAGTTGAGATGTAATTTGTGGACTTAAGTGTGAATAATTTTAGGATCTATCGACTAACAACCGGGAAACAGGTGCCGCTGTGGTTTGGTTTCTTTCTATTGCCAGACAGCATGACACATTTTTACATGAAGCACCTGTCTGAACTGTGTGTGTGTGTGTGTGTGTGTGTGTGTGTGTGTGTGCGTGAAAGGTTCAAAGAGTCACCTTGATTTTCGTCTCTCGTTGATAACAAACCAAGTATCATTTTAAACAAACCTCCAGTTTTCATTTGTTTGGATTTATCTGCTAGCCACCTTGTATTCCTTTGAATTTCCTGGGCCAGTTCATATGTCACCTTGCAGGAAAATATCTTTGGAAATCTGTAACACACTTTCATAAGCATTATTACCAAGGTAAAGCAGTTGTTCGAGTATTCCTTCGTGTAATTATAGTGTACATTGGTATCGTTCCACATCGTTAAATTGATTTATGGCATTTTGGTATTAAATCTTCGTTCATTTAAGTTTTGAATATTTCATCAATGTCTTGTTATAATCTATACCCGCCCAGGTTTCCTGATGGCGACTGCTCTAGACAAAGCCTGGTTCCCCAAGAGAAATTGTCATTTGGGAACCTTCGTCAGTTATCAATAAAACGCACGACTTTAGTTAAAGAGGCCCATGAATCCAGGCTTGGCCTCATCATCAGTTGCACACGATGGTCGCTTAAGTGTTTTTAAATGAACAGGAAGAGATATACAGAAGGTGCAAACTGTCTCAGCGTTTCTGCAGCATGCCACAGAAGCTAAATTTCCTTTAATTTTCCAGTTTTTAGTTCACTATGCAAGAAATATCCGGCAAAGTATCAAATAAGCAGCGCTTCGTGGATAAGAAAATGGTTGAATAGCATGAAATAATTCGCACAAAGCAATATAATTTACATAGACAGGTGTGAAAAGTGCGCGTTGTCATGGTTTCTGTTATTTGATGTGCCTTCGAGGACCGTCGTACTTAGAGCAAACTCTGTAAATTCCGTTCTGCTTATTCGGTTTGAAATACTACAAACAGGTAGGACTTAAGACAAAAACATTGAATAGAAGAGTGTCTCTTGGTGCATATGGATAAATGTACTAACCCAATGACCTCATTCAGCGGTTTTTTAAGTTCCATTAAATTTAATCTTTCATTGTATTTTACGTATATCTTCTTACAATTAACATAACAGGTGTAACGAAATGCGTTGGATAGCAAGATAATGATATTATTTCTCATCTAGTGAAATATTACGAAAAAGCTTACTGCACGATTTCCCTGACCTCATTTAGCGATAACGTTATCTTCTGCATTTTTACTTTATCTCCAAATTCGTGATCGTTTACGGGTGAATCCAATTAAGAATATGAGACCGCTCTTCCACAGAACTGGAAAGCAAATTAAGGCTCCCCGCTAACATAGAGCACACGTTGCTCTCAGGGGAATACAACTTGTAGAAAAAAGTGATTTTTGCCATTAGTTGATGACTAAATCCAAGTGATAAAGGTTATGAACAAATCAAACTTATAGTTTTCAATGATCATGATTGCATAGCGGATAACAATTGCATCAAAATGTGTTGGATTTCGTCTAGCATTCGATCCATTTTTGTTTTATTTGTCTAATGGGCTCTTATAAGAAGGTCATTCCATTCTTTGGCATAAACGTGAGTTAAATTAAATCGCAAAATTTACAGAAGAATAGAAGTAATAATGACATTGTGTATTAAGAATGGGCAATCATAACACGGATGATATGAATGCAACAGAAAAGAAGGCAAAAAGGTACAGAAAAATGCTGACAAATATCCGAAAAGGTCGAAGTATAAATGAAATCAGACGTGTGTGTCTGTGTGTGGGTGAGTGGGTGGGTGGGTGGGTTGGTGTGTGGGTGAGTGGGTGTGTGTGTGTGGG